GTGAGATCAACAACCCCACCTCAGACCAACACAAATGTCTTCATAGCCTACTCCCTGTCCTCCTTCCTTGGGAACTCAAAATTCAAAGATTGGATAGGATGTTACTTCTTATTCCTTCCTTCAAAATTTTCCTAAAGTACACCAGCCTGTGTGATCTAAGGATTATAAATAATATCATCCAAATCTAAAGGAGGGATTTGGTACCAGCGCTCAAATTGTGAACACTTCCTTTGCAGAAGGATGTGGATGACAGTGGAAGCCCAAAATGCATTTGCAGGATCCATGCGTGGATTAAGCCTCTGGTGAATCCTCTCTGATTATAATTGAGGACTGTGAACAGCCCTGTTATCAGAGTGGGAGCATTGTAAAGCCTATTATGGCAGGCATAATTAGGCTAAAATGTAATGTCTTATCATTTGATCCCCCTTTTGAGCCATTTTAAAAGCTATTCCAGTTTTTGTTTTTAAGTGAAGGGAAAATATATATGGACTAAACCCATAGGAATCCCCTCTGACCATGGATCAGGGATGTCAATAGCCTTGCTGTCACGCAGAATGCATTACAAAGTATATTGTTGCAGATGCAGTTAGGTTAAAATTTAGCACCCTATCATCTGATCTTCCTTCCAATCCATTTAATTTTTTTCAATTTTTAAAAATTTTCTGCTTTCTTTTCCATTGAAGTTTTTATCGGTTTTCCTGTGTTATTATTAGTTTTGTTTTTCGGGTATTTAAAAAAATATTTTTCTGTATATGAAATCCAGAATATATAAACCTACAAAGACAATAACTGGATTAATGCTTTTTTAAGGATATAGCAAGGGAGATTGGGGGAAAATCGGGGAGCTAATAATGAGGACAAAAATGAAGAGAATGTTTTAAAACTGATCATGGTAATGATTGTACAACTCTTCTTGATGTGATTGAACTATTGAATTGTACGATATGTGAATTATATGCCAATAAAACCGTTGGAAAAAGTCTGTTGAAAAAAATCTTACTGACATCCCTATGCCAGAAATAGATATTTTGATTTCTCTATACATATATAGAAATAGAAATATATAAACAGTTTATCTATAAGCAGATATATATATATATATATATATATATATATATATATACTTTTATATGTGTATCTAAATATATCGCTTTGTCCGTTCATCGGGTTTTACATATACAATTCCATGGCATTAACCATGTTCATCATGTGCGATCGTAACCACTGCACCTAGGATCTTTAAGGTGGGGAAATGTTGGTTTGGAAGGAGCTGAGCCTTCCATTTCCCAAGGAAGGTGACGGGTCCTTTTACCTGCAGCTGCTCTCTCAAGTCAGTCTTCGGCTATAGCTTCTGAATTCAGTGGGGCCCCGAAGCTCAGTGTTCAAGTGGCTTCCTTGACTGTGACACCCTTGGATGTCTCTGGCCCTTCCCACCTCCCATTTGCTAACCATGGCCCAAACCACCTTGCCTCCCACCTCTTTCCCTCTCAGGATGATTTCAGTAAAGTGCAAATCCCTTCTCAACACTTCCCTGCTGCACAACACGTGACACTTGTTCTTTGTTGTCTGCTGGGTTCAAAGAACATGCTCGATCAGATTTCACGACTCTACACTCTCACCCTGTAGCCCAGCCTTCCATCCCACTCGTCTCCAGCCCAGTGGTCCTCAAAGCTTACAGCAGCATCAGCTGGGAAACTGTTAGCAATGCAACTGTGTGGGCCCTTGTGCTCTTGAGCCTTAACCCACGCCATCTGTGTTCAACACAGCGCATCATTGAGGGTTCTCCAGGTGATCCTGATGCTAATCCAAGAGTTTCAGGACCAGCCACTCCAGCCACAACAGCTACTCAGTGGCCTCTTATTGAGTATAAGTAAATGTGGCTCCTACCAGCCTCATCCTCTGCTCATCTCAGCCCACTGCCTGGAGCACCATCCCCAGTCCTCCCTGTTCAACCTAAGCCCCTGGCCCAAGATTCCTCACATACTGTAGGCTTCCTTCATGAAATTAGTGTATATCGATGTCTCCTTGGGCACAAAAGAGTACCGTGCTGCACGGTCCCCTCAGCAGCCAATGACTACAGAGACTGCATGAGCCCAGCACCAGGAACCAAGGAGGCATGAGACCTCTTGCACCATCCTTTCCCTGGAAGGACTCACAGAGCAATAAGAAAAATGGCAGTGCATTGAAATCATGACTGGGACAGATCTTCCAGCAGAGGAAGAGGACAAAGGCTGCCACCGAGGCAGGAGAATGGCATACCGAGGGCCATTTCAACTCGCTGAGCTCCCAAATAGAGCCTAGCCCACCCAGTACAGGCCCACTGAGGAGGCTGCACCCAGACTCGTGGACTAGTTGAGTCACCACTCCACAAATCCTGCCGCCTGCATCTCAGGCAAGAGTCTGGTGAGTCATTTGTTCCCACCTTTTACTCTCCAAGGCTTTGCTGTTTCCTTCCCTCACTAGTGCGCTGATTCCAACTCAGGGCAACCCTGCGAGTGCCAGAGCAGACCTGTGGTCCGCAGGGCTTTCCGTGCGCTGTTGGGAGTAGACAGCCACGCCTTTCTTCCAAGGAGCCTCAGGTGGACTCAAACCTCCCACCTGGTGGTTAGCAGTCACGTGCACCCAGACTCCCACACAACACACGCATCCGATTTGTTTTTAGAGTGTATCGCTCACCAGCCCAGTCCTCCCTCACGCCCTGCTCCCAGGCCTTCCTTGAGAGATACCCTCTCTGCTCAGCACAGAGTCAAATGCCTTCAACCGGAGACGTGGGATGCCAGTCTAGCTTCTCCCGCTATTATCTGCCACGCCTTACACACAAGCTCCCTGGCCTTGGTTCCTCATATGGTAAACTCCAAAACTCACTCCCCTCAAATTGATGTGGAATTACAATGACCCTATAGAACAGGGCAGAACTGTGCTTGTGAGTTTCTAAGACTGTAACCTTTTACGGGAGTAGAAAGCCTCGTCTTTCTGCTGGTGGTTTCAAATTGCTGACCTTGCAGTTAGCAGCCCAATAGGGAACCACTATGCTCCGTCAACTCACTTCCCACTCACAGGGACCTTATAGGACCGAGCAGAACTGCAGCTTTGGCTGTAAATCTTGACAGAAGCAGAGAACCTTATGTTTCTTTCTTAAGCAGTGGACAGAGTTGAACTATTGACCTTGTGTTTAGCAGTCCCCACCCCCATGTACCCCTCACCGCCAACCAGAGCTCCTTATCTGGGGTCAGGGGGTGCTCAATGTAAAGTGAAATCAGTTGCATTGAATTGTTACCGATTCCGGCATGGCAAATCCATGTGTGTCAGAGGTCGCTGTGCTTGAGTTTTCAATGGCTGTGGTTTTTTTAATAGTTTTTATTGGCATATAATTCAAGAAGAGTTGTGCAATCATCACCACAATCAATTTTAGAACATTTCCTTCTCTCCTGTACTCAGAGCTGTCAACTCCCTATTTCTATTCTCCCTCCACCTCCCCTGCCTTCCCTCTAGGTAATTACTAATCCAGTTCCTGTCTTTATAGATGTAGCTATCCTGGATTTCAACTAAAGACAGTCACATAAAACAAAAACAAGAAACCAAACGAGGACAATGACAAAATAAACCATAGAAAAACCTCAATAGAAAAGAAAGCAGAGAGAGAATTCCAATTTCGCCACATCCCCTCCCACATTTGTTGTTCTATTTTTGTTTTTAAATTGGACTATCCCTTGGGTGTAAACTGTTATCGCATCAATGTTTTCCTTTGAAGCACTCAGATGGCTAATATTTCTCCTGGATCTTTAGCATTTCCTCATGTGTTTGTTAGCCTTTTGTATGTCACCCTTGGGAATTTTTCTTTTTTTTCAGTTTTCAGTGCTTTTTTAAAAAATAATTTTATTGGTGGTCCCTACAACTCTTATCACAATCCATCCATCCATTGTGTCAAGCACATTTGTACATTTGTTGACATCAACATTCTCAAAACATTTGCTTTCTACTTGAGCCCTTAATATCAGCTCCTCATTTTCCCTTCCTTCCCTGCTCCCTGCTCCCCCATGAACCCTTGATAATTTATAAATTATTATTTTGTCCTATTAGACCATCTGACGTCACCCTTCACCCACTTCTCCACTGTCTGTCCCCCAGGGAGGAGGTCACATGTAGATCCTTGTAATCTGTTCCCCCTTTCTCCCTCACCTTCCCTCCACCCTCCTGGTATCACTACTCTCACCACTGGTCCTGAAGAGATCATCTGTCCTGGATTCCCTGTGTTACTAGCTCCTGTCTGTACCAGTGTACATCCTCTGGTCCAGCCGGATTTGTAAGGCAGAATTGGGATCATGATAGTGGGGGAGGGGAGGGGAAGTATTCAAGAACTAGAAGAAAGTTGTATGTTACATTATTGCTACACTGCACCCTGACTGGCTCATCTCTTCCCTGCGGCCTCTCTGCAAGGGATGTCCCATTTCCCACAGATGGGCCCTGGGTCCCCACTCCACACGCCCCCTCATTCACAATGCTATGATTTTGGGGGGGGGTGTGTGTCTTTGATATGGCTGTGTTTTTTCAGTAGGAGATCGCCAGGCTCCTTCCAAGGGGCCTCTAGGTAGACTCAAACCACGAACTTTTCCATTAGCAGCTGAGCACACTAACCATTCGCACCACCTGGGGTCCCCCAACAGAAAGCTGTCTGAATTACACAGGCCACCCAGGAAAGATTGATCTGTCCCTTTTGCAAAGAGCTGTCTGCGCTACAGTTTCTACCCATCCCATGATGCAGCAGAGCTCCCAGAGCAATGGCCACGCAACCAGTGGAGGAGCCGGGCAATGCGTTCAATTCCAGTAGGCTCCCCTAGGGAGAGACCAAATGGAAAGGGCCATTCCCTGCCATGTTCCCAGCAGTGATCTGCCAGCTCATGGTAATAGGGATTCTCCCCCACTCCCCACCTGCCACCCGCACACCAGGCCTGAGCTCAGATGCCCCCATCTGGATTCCTCCTCCAGGGCCCTGGACTCACCGATAAGTGAGAAGGAGTGCTTCTGACAGTCTCCAGCCAGCAGGTAACTACAGTCCCCCGCAAAGCTGTACATGCTCTCGTCCAAGGTGTTGATGAAGTCATCTCCGAAAAGGCTGCACCGGCCGGTGGTCAGCTGGCCCACAGTCCCTTCCGTGCCAAGAGGCCCTGCAGGGAGAGACCACAGGTGAGCCCCGCTAGAAGCCCCAGTCCAAACCACTCTGGCCTTGTAGAAATGGCTGAGCCAGACAGGAATTGGACTGTGAGGACACGCTCTCTCGTGGGACTACATGAGACTAAAGCCGACTCTTTCAACCCTCACATATGACACGGGACTCCTCGTGATCATGGAGCAGGGCTTTGTCCTCCACTTGAGTGACGTTCATTGAGTGGTTTAGAAAGGAGGCGTGCTCATGACACAACAATTGGAGACTATGCGAGGGGGACAGCTCAGAGAAGACCTGGACTTCGTCTGTAAAGCCCACCATCCAGAGACCATACAATGAACCCATCAGCACTTACCTGCCCATGCTAGCTCACCGCATATCAGGGGGCTCCAAAGAGTTTGTGGGGAAACCCCATTCCTTTTCCATTCCATTTGTCCAGGCACTTTCTGAAGCACCCTGATAGACGGTGATGGATTTTTTACAACCTTGCAGTCATACTACTGTGTTCTTCCACACACTTGCAATAACACTAGAAATAGTACATAGTGTGCCAAGTTTATTATCCCCCCTTTGCCTCAATATACTATGAAGATTTTATCATGCCACTGTCTATGCTTCCAAACGTGATTTTAATGGCCGCAATATATGAGGGAATTAAAAGTTCATGAAACAACAGGATTAAAAGATCATGGAACTGTTCCACAACATTTTTGACATACCCCTTCTTATTTGTCATCTGAATATATATTGCCTAATCTTCTGTTGTTAAGGTCTTAGTATTTTACTGCAGTATCTGATAGAAGTCGATTGCAATGAGCACCCTTGTACATAAATCGACCTACATATCTTGAAGCAATTAAAGTGCAACAGATCAGCCAGTGTGCCCGACACACAGAAGGGATGTTGTAGGAAGTGTTAGCTTCCTGGTGGTAATATGTTAATTCTGGAGGGGCTCTCCTGCCACCCTCATTCAGTGTGTGTGTGTGTGTGTGTGTGTGTGTGTGTGTGTGTGTGCCGGCCAATGGGGAACTACAGCAGTAATGTCTAAGTGCTCTGGGCCATTGGGATAGGACACACCTAGTAGGCAGATGCTGAGGGTGTAACAAATGTATCCTTTGTCTCAGACCAGCTCATGAGCAGCAGGCTGGATGCTGCTGCCCCACTGGGTCTAAGTGGAGACCGGCCACCACCAGGAGAGTGTCCTCTTAATAGTTGCAATGTAAGGAAAGCCATTCGGCCCAGTTGAAAGGACATGACAGTGTGACATCACTTATCTTGACCTCTCTGACCCTCAGTGTCTTCTGTTGAGGGAGATGACCTCCACCATCCTTATGAACACTAATCCTCTAGTCAACCTTGGGTTCCCTCTCTTTGCCCCACGTCCTCCCCCATCACACAGGACAGTCCTGTACGGCCCTCAGGTCCCCCACAAGAGGAGAAAATGTATGCAGGCACCTACTCCCTGGGAGATATGAGGCCAGGCCAGTGGGCTCTGCAGAACCTTCATGGTGCAATCAATCAGACCACACTCAACCCTAGCAGGCCCAGCTTGAATTTACCGCAGGTCATCTCAGACAGAGCCTCTGAGCCCCGGGAGAGGGAGCGGTTCTGAATGGCCCTGGGGATGGAGTGAGGAGTGAAACTGTCTTGGTAACTTACCTGACCAGGTGAAGATCAGTACAAGAAGCACCCTCAAAAGCCGGGCAGGAATCATCTGCAGAGAAGCAAGGGAAACGGACTGGTATTCGCCGGCCAGAGAGAGGGCAGCTGGTATGGGCTTCGGTCAATGCTTGAGATGGGAAATCTCTTTTTGAGAGCAAGAGAAAGGATTGATCCTCCCTGTACCTCATTTTCCCCTTGACATAAGTTCATCCAAGATCACTGGACCACACACACACAAAAATCTCCTGACAAGGCCCCAGTCAGAGTAATAGTGGCTGTGAGCCAGGGCCCCTGAGCTCCCTTCCCCAAACAGCAGACTAACAAAGGAAGCTCTTCCTTCTCCTCCATATTCCCCTGGCCACCCTGGCTTCACCCCGTTCCCTGCACTCTGGCAGCAACTCAGAGCGGGTGAGCATGTGGTCCCCTGCTGCTGCTTCATCCTCCTTCGGTGCTTGCAACAATCTTTGGAGAGTAGGGTCTGTCTTACACCTCGTTTGGACCACAGGCACCCCAACGTAAGGACCTTTGATTTAAGGGTTTGTGCCCTGTACCTTGAGAGCTATCCAAGCTGGGGCAGCCTCACATGGTGCCCAGCACCGAGGAGAGCTCAATGTTTGCTGAGTTGCTCTGACCAACAAACAGGACGTCCCGGACAGCAGGCAGGGTGTGATCAACTTACCCCACTGCGGGACCCTCCCAGAGAGGGACAGTAGTCCTTGTGTGATACAGCATGCACACACACACACCCCCCAAATACCTATGCTCCCCACTACAGCCTCTCTCCTCTAAAGAAGGTGCTAAATTATCGAGGAGTCCATTCAGGGACTCCGTTCCCCACTGCTGCTCCCACAGCCAAACAGTGAGAGAAGTGCCCGAGGAAGACAGACCCTGATGCCCAGCTATGACTGAGACCTGGTGTGGTGAGTGACTTCCAAGAAGTCAGTATTGAAAACCTTCCATATGAGGCCTAATGCCCAACAATTACCCTAACGCAAAAATGAAAAGGTAAGGGAGGGGGCAGAAAACTAGATGACTGAAAGCAGAATACACAGAATGGAATTGATAAGAAAGTTTTACACACTGTGGAGGGGGAAATCTAACCAATATTACTGGAGAAACAGTTCAGTGGGCACCTCATTTGCTGTGCTAACTCCCACCATGAACACCAGCTGGCAACACCCAGGTATATCTGGCTGCTCCCCGGAGATCCACTGTCACTTAAGTCTCAACTGAATCAAGGCTTACCAAACAGTACAACCCACTGATTGAGCAAAAGGAGCCATGGGGTTCCCCTGGGGCAAGTTAGGGATGAGAATGTTTTAGGATTGCCCCTAGTTTTGAATGCCTCCCCGTCCCAAACAAAGCCCTCTAGTCCAAGTGATGGAGAGACCCAGCTCCCTAGGAAAGGATCAGTCTTGCTGCTTCTTCCCATATTAAGTCAGCTTCCCTCCCAGAAGACCATACCTTTTCCCTGCAATGCAGGGGCTGTGCGTGCCCCCAAGTTCTCTTGGGAAACAGCCTCACGAGGGTGCACGGCCTGTCAGGTCCCTAAGCCATGCTCCTTAGCAACTGCCGAGGCTGGGTCAGAAGTGCAGCCACTCTGAAGTGACTTGCTATGGGAGTCCCTGCTCCCGGCGTCAAGATAAAGTCCAAGTTGTGACGTCCACCAAGCCAACCCCCTGCCCTCCCCTTTCCCCCACCACAATAGCTGTGAGCTGCCACAACAGGGGACTGGCCTCCTCTTAATTGCCAAGAGGAAACAATGAAAGGAAATGGTATTAGAAACCCGCCAAACGGATAAGTTCAGTGGGAGACCTCTTGGCAGCTGTCTTAATGAGCTGCCGGGCACCTCCATCCACCCTGACATGCCCATGCCCAATCCAGCCCCTCCTGGAGTCCCCCAGGCAGAAAGACTGACAAGGAAGTCTGATAAAGCCCCGGGCAGCTGGTCTGGGTCAGCTTCTGAATCTAAATTCCCGGGCTGGACTCTGGGAAAGTTTGTGAAAAACATCTCAACCTGAGCCAATTCAGCACCGTGTTCGGAGAAAAGCAGACGCTGCACTTTCCTGTTCACACTAGGTGTGAAAGATCCTGTCCGAGCCCCTGACAAACACAGTCACATTGGGTCTCGGCCAGGGCTTACTGAACAGGTTCAAAATGAGGGTCCTGGTCACATGCCCAGACCTTTGTCCCGTGATGGGGTGGGGTGGTTTGATTCTAACACCTATGTCAAACACTCTACCCCACTTCTGCTATGCTGGTTCCTCAGCTCATCACACACACACACACACACACACACACACACACACACACACACACCAATCTTTCTTCCAAAACTCCCATCCTCAAAAGCCCGATTCTCTGCAGCATCTGCTAAATTAATCTCTGCTAAAAGGGATAGTTGATAAGCTAGACAGGGAAAGTGACTTATTCATTCATAGTGGGATTCCAGACACTAAGGAATATTCAGCAATAGGAACCCACCTCATTGCCTCTCACAAAACATTGCCTTCCCTAAGAGTCTGGAAAAGCGTAATGTGCCCAGCCTGCTCCTCCCTGCCACAAACACATCCTTCAGCCTCTGTGACTCCCTTAACCACCCCAAGAGACGGAGAGAAAAGTTTCCAAGAAAGAAAAATGCTCAAATGTTACACAGTAAAAGAGACAGAATTAACACACTCGAGTAGAAAAAGTACTTAAGGGTGTCCATTTTCAGCATTAAAAAAACAAAACAAAAACTAGGTAACATGGAAATCCTCACGCAACAAAATCCCTGGACATGATCTGTCAAGTATCACCAGTGTTTCTGTGACATACGCAGCCTGAGCTGGGAGACAAGGCAGGACGGTCTCCAAGGGTCCCCAGGGAAGAGGAAGGAGCCATTCCGTATGAAGCAACACACGACTACGGGCATAGACAACCTGGGTACCTTCCAAGTCGAAACTGACCATTTCAAGAAGGTTTGGGGCCTGCACTAGGCCCAGAACCAGAAAGGAGACCCCTGCCTGGAACTTCAACTTCTTCACCTAAAAGTTTGTCTGTCCCCATCTCTTGTGGTTGTTGTTAAGGGCCGTGAAAGTGGTACTCACACACCACAGTCCTAGGTCCAGCAGAATGAAACACTGCGTGGGTGGTCCTGTCCAGGCCTGGCAATCACTGCTCTCTCGGCTGCAGCCCCCTGGGGCAGCCACTGCGTCAATCCATCTTAGTGAGTCTTCCTCAGTGAGCCACGGCTCTTCTACTGGGCCAAGCATGGCTTCCTTCTCCAGGCACTGGTTCTCCAAAGAACATAAACAAACCCTTGACACCCTCACTCCTAAGGAATGCTCTGATTTGACTCTTCCAAGACGGAACAGTTCCTCTGGTACAGGGGTTCTCCACCTGCCTCCAGCTGCGACCCTTACACACAGCTCCTCCTGGTGGTGACCCCCAACCATAAAATTATTTTCGTTGCTACTTCATCGCTGTCATTTAGCTCCTGTTAAGAGTCGGGTGACCCCTGCAAATGGGTCGCGACCCACAGGTTGAGAACCGCTGGATAAAGGGGAGCCCATATTAAGGAGTTCAAAAGGAAAGAAAATGATTTGAAACTGATTGTGGTAGCAATTCTATCGTACCTCTTGATGTGATTGAACTGTGGGATGTTATGATATCTGTAAGAGCCCCCAATAAAATGGAAAAAAATGTAAATAAAATATTTTAAATCACAAATTAAAAAGCCCTTGAGAAAACAAGCCATCATAAGCAAGAATAAGCAGTCACAACAAAAAGCAGGAATGGATCCCCCCAGGATTTCAGATTACAAAAAAGTAAAAATGTTTAAAATTACAATAGCCCCAAAACCCTGAAACCAAAACTATAAAAGTACACAAGATCATGAGTAAAACACACACCCAGAGAAAATATTTCAGAAAAATCTTTGAGAAATGGAAATATATAGCAACGTCGTAGGAAATTTGAAATAACCACCCACAAAGCTTACAGAAAACCACTGAACATTTCTGAAGGAAATTTCTTGGAAAACAGAGCTGAGGAAATCACTGTGAATAAAGCACACAGAGATAAAGAGGGGATTTTGAAAGAGGCTCAAAAGCACGACAGAACAGGAAGAGCCGCTGAGACGAGCAACGCCTTAGTCTGCACGTCCCCAAAGCTGATGCTGAAAATGTTCCTGCAGGGCCTTTGTTTGGGAAGGTAGGAAACATTGTCAGGGCAGTGGAGTGACAGGAGAAAGGGTGAGCAGACAATGAAGGAGGTTTGTTACACCAGCACCCTAGGGGGTGCTTAATCCCCTATGCGGCTTAATCCCATGAGGAAACCGTGTACAACATATGCCTCCGAATTATCCCCGTCTTAGGCCAAGAGAACTGGGACATTCTGTACACTGGCTCCCATCCGTTGTTGTTAAAGGCCGCTCCCTGGGGAACACCGACTCCCCCAACAACTCTAGTCCTCAGGCAAAGAGGGGCAGTTACTAGCAATGTAGAAGAGGCACAGGAGAGGCTAAGGCCAGAGGGCTGTGGAAGGGAGGGCAGTGGCATGTGCCTTCCCTAATTAAATTGGCAATCAAAGGTAAGGCATCACAGAGATTCCTCACCACACCCACACCCCAGAAAATCAAACAATCCTTCATGAAAGAACCATGAAAGGAGGCATTTCCAAACAAAGGAAATGAAGCCCAGTAAGAAGGAGCCAAAAGAAATAATACACAAAGAAATTGATAAATATAAGATGGTAGTGCAGTCTTTTAATGCTTGGCTGCTGACCAAAAGGTCAATGGTTTGAAGCCACCAGCCACTGCACAGGAGAAAGAGGTGGCAGCCTGCTTGCATAAGGATCGTAGCCTTGACTCTGTCCAATAGAGCCACTATGATTCAGAACCAAATTGATGGCAGCAGGTTTGATTTGAGGTTTTAAAACACACGGGGAAAAAATAACAATGATAATGACAAATCAGAGAATTTTTTTGGAAAGAATGGACCAAAAGTCCAGACTGTCATAGCACCTGAGCAGGAGAATGGGAATGGGGAGATGCAGGTGGGAGTAAAAATATATTAAGGTCCTTATAACCCGGGTAGCACCAGAGTTAAGCATTTGGCCTCTATCTGAAAGGTTGGTGGTTCAAATCCACCCAGCAGTTCCCCACAAGACAAGAACTGGTGCTCTGCTCCTGTAAAGATGACAGCCTAGAAAACTCTATGAGACAGTTCTACTCCATCCCATGTGGCCACTGTGCGTTCCAATGGGCCCAGCAGCACCTAACACCACCACCAGCCTGGCGCAGCAGAAAGGCAGAAACCACAACCTTAGACTTGGTCAGGCAGAGAATGCCTAGCAAAGTGAATGGGAGACGACTAAAGCGTAGAATTGAATGTGTGTTTTACAAACCAGTAGAGAGAAAACTAGATTATTATCCAAGGGGTTGGGGGGGAATAGGACGAGTAGCACACAATATGATAGTACAAAAAATTAAACAGACCAATTAATCAAAAATAAAAAGATTTCCAGCTATGTTCCACAGATTGGCTTAAAGCTAAAGAACCCAACAAAAACTAAAAGGAATAGGAAGATAAGAGCAAATAGAAAAGTGTGTTAGTCTGGGTACGTTAGAGAAACAAATCCACAGACACTCATGTAGAAGAGAGAGTTTTTCATAAAGGTTAAGTGCATATCAAGAAAACATCACAACCCAGTGCTGCACAAACCCACAAGTCCAACATTAGCCCATATGTCCAACACCAATCCACAAAGTCCTCCTCCATCTCACAAAGCAGACACAATGATGCCGACTGCAGGAAGAAAGCCGAATCAGTGAATGTGTAGGCAGCGCTGGCAAGGGTCTCCACACGACCGCTCCAGCACCCAGGGTTGCATCGGGGTAGGTCCATATGGCTTCTCCTCAGTGATGTCTTGCAGGAAGTGAGCCTTGCCAGCTGAAGCAGGGAACTGGCTAAGGCAATTGCACCCTGGTCTGACAATCAGAAAGCAAGAGACCCGAGAACTCGAAAGGCAAGGCTCACTGAGCCTTTTATCCCTTCGCCCTTCAATTAACCCCACCTGTGTTTATCGGGCAGGTTGGCACAATAAACTAACTACCTCAAATAGACTTGAGGGGAAAGGTCATTGTAGAAATAAAATGAGTTCCTATGTCATGGGAAGGTTAATGCACCAAGAAGACATTCCTGGGCACTTGGTAATATGGTCTTAAACTATGTGAAGAACGAAACCCAAACGCACTGCCATGCAGTCGATTTCAGCTCATAGCGACCCTATAGGACAGGGTAGAAATGCCCCCTGTGGTTTTCCGAGGCTGTGAACCTTTACAGGAGCAGAAAACCTTACCTTTCCCACTGTATAAAGTTATTCTTTAACTAGAAAGGAATACTGATTAATTATGAAGCTAAACAGAAAAATCTTCAAGGAAAAGTTAACAACACCCATTTATAGAAAAGAAGCTAGCAAACATCTTAGAAATCTAAAAAAAAAGAAAGAAAGAAATGTTCTTGATCTGAGAAAAGACATCTAAGAAGAAACAGAGCAAACTTCATACTTTATGGTAATATATCTGGCCAATATATTTATTTTAAAAAAA